TTCACTTACCTAGATAATTGATCCACCATCACTTGTTCTACTACAGCCTGTTTTCTCCTCTCTGCAGCAACATCCTCCTGCAATGAAAAACTGACTGAGAGAAAATGAAATATATAACACCAGACACTTCAAATAATAAATCACCCTTTAAGACAGCGTTCAGAGGTCACAATCTTACCAATGTCACAATTAATCTTTTTTTTTCCATCTTTTTGAATAGAGTTCTATTTGCATAACAAATAGACAAATAATATTCTCTACTACACACTCAAATTGTCTATGCCTATTAGCTGTCAATAAATATGAGAATTCTAGTATTTCTGTTGACAGACAGCATCCTTATCTCTGTATTCTTTCCAATAAATTCTGTAAGTACAATACTGCCTGAGGAAACTCACACTCTTCCAGGTTTCATGGTTGACACAGATTCCAACTCAGAGAATGAAACTTTACCTCCAGCAATATTTAGTAAAAAAAAGTCTTTTAAGACTTAGTCTCAAGGCACAATTTTTATTTGCTGCATGCCACAATAATTTTATGCTGAGACAGGCCAATCTGAAAAACCTTTCAGGAAAGATCATCCTAAGGGGGAAGGGGATTTAACATGATATTATTATTATTTTTATTAGAGTAACACTGAACCATATCCTTGTGCCATTCACTGTAAAGTGCTCAGGCGTTGATCTTCATTTGTTTCATAGAAAGAGAAAACAAAGCACAAGAGGATGCCCCCAGGACAGCATGGAGGCCACTGGCAACAACCAGGCCCCGGTATCTCTTCTTTGTTTTATCTTCCAGTTTTCGGAACTTTTTCACTGCACTTAAATTTTTCCCCCTCAAAAAAATAATATTTATATATGAGAAAACAGAGATTATTATTACTGAGGGGGAGAAAACAGAGATTATTATTACTGAGGGGGTTTATGCAACCTTTTTGACAACTCTGTAGATATCCTGAAACCAAAGAATTAAGATATTTTTCAGACTGGTTATTTTTTCCACACAATTTTTGTGTACAAACAAAATTCTAGATAGATCAAGCCTTCCCATGGCTGAAGAAGAACCAAAAATTGGTTCCCAGACACCAAGTAACTGTAAGGGATAATCCCTAATTCCACAGAGATGTTATGGGTATAAATCACAACCTTCAAGAAAATACTGATTGGCATTAGCCAAAAAAAACCCAAACCAAACCCCTCAAAGCCCCAGCAACCAAAAAACCCAAATAAATAACGTAACATCAGACCAGCTGGTGGTTATTCCGAACAGATTTTAAGCCTTAAAAGATTTCAGAATTATAGGAGATATAAGAGCAAACTAAAAAGCCCCCTATTTCATTTTTGCAGCTATTAGAACTGTAGGTGCTTTATTCCGAGTTACTGAATTTTTGCCCATTAACTGTCACAACAGATGTATTAAAAAGCATTATGTAAAAGAGGACACAGTGATAATACATAGCAGTGTAAAGCACAACATATTCCTTGGACCCCGTCTTATAGAGCCAAACCAGCTAGCACGCTGAAGAAAGAAACCTTACACCTTGAATTTCAATTGAATACTAGGTCACTAAATGTACTCTTCAGTTTTGAAAGCCATCACTCTGCACATGCAAATGATGAATCATGCAATAGCAAATCTCAAGGTTCTTCATCATTGTAAATAATCCTAAATTCAAGTCTTAGCCTTAGATGGGCATGAATCCTATTATTCAGTCCTAAAACGAGTAAAAATCATGTCTATGTAAGAAGTTAAAGAAACATATTGGGCACATCCATATAGGAAGAGTTTTAATTCCCCTCTATGCATGCTAGATGCTATAATTGTTGCTGGTTTTCGGGGCTCCCTCCTTCCCAAGACCAATAGGGATGAGAGGAATCTGGAAGGGATCTGACAGAAGATTAGGGTCAAAGCAACGGAAAGGAGAGGCTAAGGGAGCGTGGGTTTGTTTAGTTTGCAGAAGCAGCAGCTACGAGGCATTCTGAAGACATCCTACAACCAAAGAGAGGTTACAAAGAAGAGAGAACCAAACTTTTTTTGACAGTGGCCAACAGTATAACAGGGGACCAAGGTTACAAATTGAGCCTTGGGAGGCTTGATATGGATAATAGGAAGAACCTTTTCACAAGGACAGTAGCGTATCACAGGAAGATGTTGCCTAGAGATGCTGTAGGATCTCCATCCTCAGAGCTTGAAGACTCAGCCAAAGCTGTGGCTGATCGGATCTAATACCCACAGCAGAGCCCACAGAGCTTACAAAGCCAGTTGTTATCACATACTCCACTTCAGGAGTTAATGAGGGAAAAGAGCCCATTTACTCCAGAAACAAGTCAGAGTAAGACCTCATGGAATCATGGAATCCACGGACCATGGAATATAGGCTCAGGTACAAGCTACAGGCCAGAGGAAATGTTAACACAAGTCACTCAGTTAATCTTAGTTGTATGTATATATTTGTATTTATTATTCATAATTTCCATTCTCATTTATATACATTACTGCATAAAATACAAGCATTGACGATAGTATTAAAAAAATGCTTACTGGATTGCTCAGTTCAGCTCTGCTTGAAACAAATGTTTAAACTCCTATGACTTCAGTGGATGCAATTACATACTAGGAGCAAATCATCAAAGGCCTAACTTCTGCTGAACATCTGGGAAGTCATTCTACGAGTCTAGACAGTTAACACCATATCAGCCAAAATACTTACAGCTTCTGATTTCCTTATACTGTGCCACATATTACAGGGCTTGCTTGTGTAGCATTGTTGCAGGAGAGCTTTCTCATCAAGAGCTGTAAGATCATCACTATGTCCATCTTCAAGTTGTGTACCCTATCCAAAAATACACTATTTTCATAAATTTAATTGTAAGAAAACCAACCAAACAAAAAAAAACACACACAACACATTTTCCTCAACAATTTGCAATCAGCAACTCAAGAGAGGGCAGACTGTTAGTAACTTTGTGAAGAAGACAAGAGCTCATCCTTTCTCTCTTGTTCTCCAGAACAGCCAAGAGAAAGAGGCAGATGTGCCATTATGCATATAGCTCAAAGTTCACCATTGCAGAGATGCTGCTCTTTGACCAGCAAAGAAATTAAATACAGTTTAGACAGAGCAATGCCAAAGCATAGTGCTGAACCTAACAGACTTGTAAATAAGTCTGAGGTTATTACGGCAATATCTCCTACAAGGAGGATATGAAGAAAACTGACAAAGGAGACTGTTTACAGAAGTCAGGAATGAGGGAACATGGGAAAGAAATCAAAAGAGTAGGTTTTGTTAGCTATGCTCCTCTAGGAGCAGCTTCTTTTCACAGAAGAAAAGTTATTACAAGTTCCATTAATCAGATAAAGTAAGTACCTTGAAATCTAAAGAAGTTTTGATTTATTAATTTAATCAAGTAGTGATAATATCTAACACAGGAAATTGTTCTGCTAGACATTATATTAATATCTGTCATAAGAATTGATACACATGGCTTCTAGTGCTTAGCAAGTATTTTTCTGGAAGCCAAAATCACCAGAATAAGCCAGTCCTGCTTTTTCTTTCCCAGTATACACTTGCCACCTATTTCTTCAGTTCAGATTAACTTGGCTGCTCCTGTAAATACCCTTTTGATGGGCTTGCAGTACAGCATATAAAGGAGTCACTCCTTGGAAAACTGATGATGTGATGGTGTCAAACTGATACATTAACAGTGGAATCATTAAAAAAAATAAATATATATATATATATATAATACTACAACAAACCCCCAGAACTGACAATTTTAACTGCCACCAAACATAAAACTAAACAAAATAATAGAACTGCTTTTTTCACTCAACTCTTTTACTCATAGAATGTTTACTTACAGGTACTTGCAGATTCTCCAAGTTTTAGCTGAACACTAGAAGCATGACTATAAGCTGAAAGCCCCTTTAAAACTATCAACAATACAAGTAAACCAATAACAACAATATGTGAAACATAATCTCTGTCTTATGCAAGACCTTTCCTTTTCATTCTACTGAACATTAAGGAAGTAAAATCAGTAAACTCATTATTATTCATCACAAACCTTTCCCCTGAAAAGCAATGAGCACAATATGTTCCCTCAACATCTGCATACTTAAGTTTTCATTAAGATTCTTAAATGGTCATCTACCCTCAGCACAGTCTAGCATTCGACCAGTCCCCGCAGCTGTTACTTACTTTGTTTCCCATTTCCTTATCCCTAAATGATGTATCTTGCTCTGTGCAACCACCCTTTTCCACTATCTCTTCCAGAACAAGAGGAAAGTTGGTTTTTTTTCACCCCTGTGTTTTCTAGTTTCTCTCCACTGATCTTCCCTTGTTTACATCTGAGTTTTAATTTAAAAACATAAAAGAAAACCTGGTGGAATTAATACAGCTTGCAGTCCAACTTCGCAGTCCAACTGTATTGGATCTTATACAATGTCAAAACAAAAAGTACAGATAACATCTTTCATTATTTTAACCCCATATTCCCTTCCATTTTCAGTATTAATAGTTCTCAAAAGTACAGATTGCATCTTTCACTTCTCCTTTTTTAAGTCCTATATACAGTCATAATTGAATAGAATAATAATTACTATACTTCTGTATTTAAAAAATAAAAAAGCTTAAATGCATTTCTATATTTGGAAATACCATTTTACCAAGAACTTCCTGCTGTCTCTCATCTTCTTAGGCTGAAAACTTCCCTATCAATCACGCTAATCTTCATGCTCAGGTTAAAGGAGCACTATGAAGGCAAATGTTACATTTCTTATCAGAGAATACAAGCATTCTTAGATTCCCAGAGCACCTCAGTTTCTCACTCTGGTGCAACTGAAACAAGCTTCCTATACTTTATTTCCTACTCAACGTTAGATGCTGAAATTACACGTTTTTATTTCTTTTTGATAAAAACATGGAAGAAATTAGTTACACACACATGCAAACCTCTTCAAACACTGTAATGAAATACCAGCACACATTTGCTATTTGAAAATGCAATTGTTTCTTTGCCAGCTACCTTTATTGAAGCTTCTGGACACTGGAGGTGGTCTTTCTTCTTTTCTGCGATTCTCTGAGAATACTGCTTATATTCTTCCTTTATATCTGCTTCATACTGACAATACTTCAGTTTATATCTGTCTGTTGGGGATGGAAGATTTTCTGGTATTGTCTTCTGCTCCAAAACAGAATGCTAAAGCAAAGAATAATCAATATAAAAGCCTCTGGTTGATCTATTGAACAAGAACAGCATTACTATAATTCCCATCCAGTGTAACCTCGGAAACTTCTTGACACTATGCTTCACATTAAGAAAAAATGCAAATATGACTGCATATTCAGGCTTAATTTTCGGTGAGTTCTTCATATTCTGCCTTTTTTTTGAATCTAAAAAGTACACAGCCAAATGGTTTACATCACTTTTAGAGAGAAGCCAAAATTCAGTGGTTCTGCCCTATAAGATAATGTTACAAATCACAAAAATGGGAATTCTGACATTTGATTTTGGATGGCTGAAAACGGGCTGAAGGATTTTTTCAATCAGAAGTTCTAATATTCTTGGATGGCAGATAAGTATTAGTACTGGGACTTCCTTCCCTAGAACAACATCAGCTGAAAAGGCAGTGAAGCCAGCTAAGTATCTTCCTAACTTTACATCCATTTCAGGGCTCTACACAACGGAGGCTGCATCAATAGAAACAGCAACAATGAGAGAAGGCCAAGACTCCATTCTTCTTTCTCTCCCTGAATAACCAACACCTTCAATGTTTAAGTGATGTTCCCTCAACACTAACAAAACTAAGACGGCCTTACCTAGCATCTCGACTTGACACATCTCATCTTGCAACACCAGTGTAACAGTCCTGTTCTAAAAAACATTTCTCAAAACCCCAAAAGATTTATGTTCTTGAAAGGGCAGCTTTCTCTTTCAAAAGAGGATCCACATACCTCACTGGTTAATTCCTGAATGATAAGACTATATTTAAATTATTCTTCCAAAAGTGACCTATTTTGGGAAGATTTACTTACGCAGTCTGTTATTGAAGAAGCTGGAATATATGCTCAGTCAGGGCCCCAGAAGCAAGCAATGCAGAAATAAAGGCCGCTCAGAGGAATACATTAAAATATTTTAGAACTGCTTGAAAATCTTCTCCACAAAAAAAGGAGGGGAAAAAATATCAGGCAAAAAAAGAGAGAGAGGAAGAGCAAAAGAAGGTAAGTGAACAGAAGACATATTCTCGCACATTCAGCACTTAAGTATTTAAGACATAATGAAGGCAGAAAGCAAGCAGCAAGAGATAAAGGAAAGTGGAGAAGAAAGGGAGAAAGACCCTAAGAAATAGACAAAGCAATACCAACCTTCCATTAGCCTTCCTGCAGTTAGAGAGAATTATATGTACGAACTTTATATTTTAAAAAAAATGGTAAAGCAAGCATTGAAATCACAGGCATCCAGACCTAAAAAGAGTATAGCAACTCAAGTATGTTTGCACTGCACACTCGTTGGGCACGTAGATATGCTGAGAAGTACTACATTCTTGGCCCGTTATTTTAAAAAAAACAAAAAAAAACCAAAAAAAACCCCAACTTAACAATTTTAGTTTTTATTTAAATGCATTTTTTTTCCAAGTTGAGAAACTATTTGGTTACATAGGAAAACATAAAAAATTATGATCTTGGCAGATTCACCTTGAGCTCCAGCCAATTTGGAGTCCTGCCACAAAAGTCCCTATATTATTCTTTTCACGGGACACAGGTTATATACAAATTAATTAATAATTGTTTTTCCCTCTAAATATAGTTCTCTTTGAAACACACTCATTAGAGTATTTCTTTGGTTTACGTAACTTAAATATTTTTGAAATAATGGACTTTTAGACAATATATTTTCAAATTCTTCCAAAGAGAGATATCATTGAGAAGTTAGGATATTTCTTGCACCCTAACCAAACAGAAACACACTACTAGTAGTATGATTTTTATCACGTTTATGTATGCTGCACGATTATGACAGAAAATAATCATGTACGTAGCATTATGGGATTAGTTGAAAGCTCTAGATATCTAAACTCTCAAATATATAGGGACTACAAATAGAAGAATACTATTTGCAGTACTTCAGCATTTTCCCTTTAATTATCACATTTGAAACACTCAAAATACTAATGGAATGACAGCAGATTAAAAATAGTGTCTCCAGTAAGCTAGTTCTGATCACACAAAAGAAGTTAAAACATCTTACATTTTCAAACCATACACCCTAGTACTCTACTACTGAGTTGCTAATGTTATTTTGTCAGTGTATATTTTCATAGCTACTTTTCCTTTAGTTTAAACAGTGTCTAGAAAATCTTGTCAGAAGAAAATAGAGGTAAAGAGACATTAAATATGTACCAATGATCAAATAAACAATTGTCACATTCATTTCTTCAAATTTAATTCAGATATAAGAGTTCAAAGGAAATCTTTTCCTGCATTCAGGGAACAACTGTAATAACTGAGTAATTAAATTAATTCTTAAACTTGTTACAGTGGATATGGATCCTGAACAGTGCTGTACTGTACTATAAACCAGAATGCTACCATCTGGACTACTGATTTTCCTTATAAAGCACCTAAAATTTGTGGTGATTAAGTTTCTTAGTCATCCAGGGGAAAAAAAAATGCTGATATGTGATCAGGAAATTTTACAACAGAAGTGCTCTGACAAAGTGAGCATAATTCCAAAGTTAACATCACAGTTCCGTTTTAAAGACAAGAGACTTAAGAAAAACCCTACGAAATGGCTGCACACACCACCAAAAGTCTCCTTTTCACCAAAAGTAACTACTCTTCCATACAAATAATATATACTGTTTGTAAACTTGTATTTTCTTCGATCACTTACTACTATTGATCTTTACTTTAAGCTCCACTTTGTTTAGAAAGATAAACCAAAATTACATGCTACCTCAAAAGTATTACATTTTTCAGTTGCTTTGACAATTTTTAATAAAGCTAGCTATGAATGTATCTCTTCAAAAATAAGTACAATGAAATGGATGACTGTACCATCTAACAAAGAGGAAGACAGGTATTTAAGAAAATAGGATTTTTTAAATATTCTAGAAGTTTCTTAGTAAAAAATACTTTGCCAAAAATATTTGGGACCAATAGCACTTTCAGATACGACTTGAACCAAAAGAAATAAAGAGAACTTCTATAATAAAGCTAAGTATGCTTTCATAAATTACTGCTAAAGGGGAATATTTTAAAGATATTTGTAGCATCAGACTGACCTGTTGACCCTGATGATGCTGTGCATATGGCGTTTGTAATGATGTTCTCCAATCTGAAAATGAATCTAGACGGCATGTATGAGGATAACTTCCACTGTATGGTATGTAAGAGTCTCCATCCTAAAATTACAGGAAAAAAAAAAGAAAGGGACAAGCAATGGTACTTGTTTTATATTCAAAGCGATATTTTTATAAACTCATGCAACACATAAATTCTAAAAACTATTCAGGATAGAATTAATTTATAATTACCTCTTCATCAGAATCTCCCAGCCTCCCTAGATCTAGGCATGGCACCCTGCAGGAAGTTAAAATGATTTTAATAGCAATATGTTCTCTTATTTTTCAATTACAGTAAAAACAAACTGCCTATTAGCTATTATTATCAGCTCCTTCACAAAAAAATTCCCTGCTATGAACACTTTCACTGTAACTGGAGATGGCCCACTTGGCAAATTCCTATTAGCTCCTCTTGCTTCAGCTCGGGAACTGGCCAGTGAGCTTTTCCTCTTCCCCAGTTGCAGAGTACCCTGGCAGCCGAAAAGGGCCCAGTAAGGCCCTTCTTCACTCCCAGCATAGCCATCCTGGCTTCTCTTCACTCCCCAACAGGAGCTGCTGCAACAAGATCATAAATCAGGGATTCCTTATTCCTGTCCTCCACAGCAGATCTGGGGCAATATCCCTCTATGATAGTCACCAGAGAGGCAACAGGGAAGCAACTGCTCCTTGGCATGCAAACCTTCCAAACTTTTTGGAAGAGATTAAGCAGAATGACATACTGAAGTATAGTTGGCTTCCACTGTGCTAAAGAAATAAAAACATCTCCCAATTCATCAAAGCATCTCTGTGTCTTCTGCCTTTACTCCAGATATATTCTGGAATTATAACAAGATTATTTCTTGGAATAAGAAAGCTCCTTAATTTCCAGTCTTTTTTTATTAGAGGATGACATAGAAATTGTATTTATTTGACTTCAGTATGAACAATCCAATGCCCTGGTCACACATACTTGTAAAATAATGTAGAGAGATACACCGGCTGTAAGGCATTTCAGTAAACAAAAACCCCTAAACTATCAAACACGATCCTTGGAATAGCAGATGCTGCTTATCTGCCAAAGTCCCTATAAGGTTTTAAATTCTATAGGCACTGTACAAAATTTCCCTTTGCTTGTAAAAACCCTTCATAATATTTTCTTTGTAATTTTTACTGTAATACCTGCAAAGGCAGCTAATAGTTAAAACAAACAAGTTTTTCTCTTTTTGCAGACTATTATATTAAAAATATTCAAGAAAGACTAGGTATAAATATGAAAGCCCTGAGTACAACTCTACCATTAAGCTCAACCAAATGTAAATCAACTTAATTCCAATGTAAATAATGCATCAAAAATTCTATTCTAAATATAAATCATACAAACCAAACCTATGATGATAAATTTCATGGAAAACCGAGTTGCATACCAATGCAAATGCAAATGGATTGTGTTAATAATGCACAATTACACAAACTGATGAGAAATATAAGCAGACTTACTCTGGTGGGCGAGGACCGCGAGTAGCCCGTGTATCTGGTCTCCAGCCCTAGAAGAAAGACACATTAGTACATACCTACCGGGATCAGGATTAAAATACACAGTTCTCTCTTTCAACTTCCCCTGGAATATTTAAAATCAATGCCTCAAATATCTGTCTGACATATTTCACCAAAATGCTACTAACAAAAGGAAAAACAAAAACTTTCAATGAAAAGTTGATTCTTACAGAACATGAGACTAAAAGAATGACTATTCAGACAGAAAGATTTCAAGCCATGAAGAATCCAGACAGTATCCATGTCAGCTATTAATAACGTGTTATAAATAATCCATGTTCCTGAAACTTTGTACAATCACTGCTCACAGGGGTTTAGGTCCTTGTTTCTTGGGAACCAACCCCTCAGCCAACCCTTAAACCAAAACCGCAATACCGACAGCTAGCTGGCTCACATGGACCTAGCTCAGACCCCAAAGAAACTATGATATTTGGTGTAACTGTATCATCTCAGCTTTAGTACAGCAGCACATGATGACCAGGCAGCTTGTGTACTCACACTATTCATTTTGCATGACTGTGTACCACACAGAGCGCCAAACTCAACTGAGCAAGAACATAGAAAGAAGAAAAGACTCAAGCCAAAGCTCCATCTACCCCACTATGGCTTTCTGAAAACAGCCAACAGGAAAACCCTAGGGAAGACAGTTTGACTGGGGCAAGCACCTAGTAACAATTCACCCAACTGGCCTCCGAGTCTGAAAAAAAATGTGGTTCAGGGAACACTTCGGCTTGGAGATCTCAGAATCACAATCTGAACTGAGGAGACATCCAATTTCAGCGGTGCCCTAACACCTTTCATGATTTGAGAACAGTCACAAAACTGTACCTCCCTTCCTGCCACACACCCTTGTAGCTGCTCCTGAAAACGAAGTTTACAGTTCAGCAACACTACCCTCTAGTGCCTTCAAAAAAGGGCACTCAGGTTTAGAAAAAGAAAAAAGTTTCTCTCCAGGAAGGTGGCACATAATAAACACCACCATCTTGTGGTCATCTATGTAAAAAAACGTTAGGAGATCTAACACAACTTAGTCTTTTTCTTAAGACTAAATGAAATGCATTAAATCACAAGTAAATAATTTTTCTGTACCATTTCAACTGTGATAAGATAAAGAACGTACCACATTCTAAATGTTAAAGTCTTAACATAATTCTGTTTCCAGAAGTCATCAAATCAGGAAGAAAGCAAACAAAAATCCTGAAGACCATCCACATTTACAGGGTGAAGTATATAGTTACAACCTAACTTTAATCTATGTTTTATTCTTGCAAGCCACCAAGAATCAGATGGACTAGGAAGTCTAAATTTAGACACTGAGGGGCACGAGAAAGAGAAGGAAAAAAGGGGTGGAAAGATTAAACATTTATTTTCCTTCACAACCAATACGAAATGCCTCAAATTCTCTTGTTGTAAACAGGTATTTCATTCTCAAAAGACTGGCTGAAAGGTAACATTATAACATTGATGTGATACTGTTTACAAAAGGTCCTTTTTCATTCCAAATCAAACAAAAAAAGAAAACAGCAACTTGGCAGTCAAACTCCAAGAATTCCTCATGTGGTCATCCAACAAATAAGGAAGTTAAATGGGTGCTTGGGGGCTAAGGGAAGATTACCAATTAACTTTACTTCATGGGCGTAAAGCCCACAGTATCTGTGAGAAAAATCAACTGTTATCAAAAAACCTCATATTTACCTTAACTATATAAAAACAATGGCCCTCAGAATCCAAGATTTTATTTTTACTAACCCAGCTTTCAAAAGTTAGCCTGAAAGTTTCTGCTACAGTGATCTTGTGAGGGTTGCACACCTAACTTATCTCAAAACATAGACTATTAGGAATACCTGGAAAACAAAATTCCCCTTCATAATGAATGCAGAGCACTGAGATTCATTTTACAGATCAGTCTGAAGTCATGCCTCTTGAAATTATGTTTTGGGAGTTGCTTTACTTTGTTGCTGTCTTGCAAAACAAAACCACGGACAAATCTGTTACTAATATCACCAAGAACCTGAGACAGCACACAAAGCAGATTCAAGCCTCTGTTGCACTTATTTGCAAGCACTAGTTTGTTCCCTGAGTTCTCCACATCCCAGCTAAGTACCCAGAGCATCAGTTAGTTTAAGACAGCTGGTTTATTGGAAATTCTTTCCTTCGTTTGAGAAGCTGTTGTACTAAACTATAGCTTTCTGACAAAAGTAATTTCTTTAAGTTTCCTTCTCTACAGAATGTATTGTAACCTCAAACTAAAAGCCTTCTGAAGTATGATTAAAATATTTGTACAAATGTCAAAATAAGGAAGGAAAACAACCACAAGCCTGCCATTAACATACCTGACGTTTCTTCCCCATCGATGACAGCTGAGTCTGCCTTCGAGGGGACACAGCAACTCCTTTAACTTCCAAATCCATGCAAATTCAATGACAGCCTTCAGAATAAACTGAAAAGCAGAAAAAAGCTATTAAGAAAATAATGTCTTTTTTACAGAAGTGCTTCTGTAAAGAAACATTATTGCATTGGAAAGAATGCGCCTTATCACCAATAATTTGGGTACTGCCTTCAGCAATCTATGAAATGTTGCTTGGTTCCTTTTTTCACCGCCTCTTAATTTCAGTCTTCCCTTACTAATGCTTAACCAGATTCCTGTTCAAATTTGACTTTC